TCCCATCAATTACCGGCATAGGTGTGACATGGACATTAAACATGATCTTTGTTTTGTCCATGTTCATCTTAAGACCTATCCGTTGGGAGACACCATTGAGGTCATTGAGCATAGTGCTAAGGTCCTGCAGCGATTCTGCCATAAGGACTATATCGTCGGCAAATCGAAGGTGAGTGATGTACTCGCCATTGATGTTAATACCGTATCCTTTCCAGTCCAGTAGCTTGAAAACGTCTTCCAACGCAGCGGTGAAGAGTTTCGGGGATATAACATCACCCTGTCTTACACAAGTGTATAATTGATACAAACTGTATAAATAAAGTTTCATAATAAAATAGTTCATAAAAATATAGTAATATATAAGTAAAGTTTTGAATTTCTGAAGTATAAAGAGTTATGTGTGAAGTGTTTACATGATTATGATTAATTATTCGTAATTTTGATACACTATGCCTAAATAAAATATGGAGTAATGGATCATGAAGGAGCATGCAGATATGATTTATATTATATTTAAAACGTTTAAAATAATTAATTAAAAGTATATAACAAAATCTAGTAGGTAGTCACAAGGCAGTTTTCTCTTTTATTTTTGTGAAGTCTCCTTCTTCTTCGATACGAATTGATGGCAGTCCTTCTTTCTTCCGTAAATAAATTTTACCGTAAGATGTCCAACAGTAAGAAAATCCATTGGTTTTTGCGAAGTCCCTCGCCAAGAAAAATAGACGCCTTCCTTTCGGGGTAAGAGCCTCCGAGATATATATCTGTTTAGGAGAACTGTCTAAACCAAATATTTTTGTATTTAATTTTTCATTCTTCTCTTTTAGGGTAAGTTTTTTAATGGTTTTTGTAATATTTTCCTTCATCAGTACGGTGTTAAAGTCGACTACTATTGGTTTTAAGGCATTGAGTATTGCAGATGCTCGATATATATTTAATATCCCCGGTCTGTATTTGCAAATTTAATATATTTCCAATTTTTTTTTACTGCATTTGTGAATTCCTGTTTGTTTTCATTTTGCAATTTTGGTACATTCTAATCTCAAAGCTTTGTTGAACATGTGTGTCTTTCTAGATTGTTTTTTTTCGAGCTGTTGAGATGTGCGCCCTTCTTTCTTTCCTTAAATTTTCTATTTCTTTTTGAAATTCATCATATTTGTAAGATAATGTTTCCAATGATAACTGTAATGTACTGTTTTGCGACTTTATTTCACTTAATGATGACTCTAAGACTTGTAATTTATTTGTTTGATCGGTGACAAACTTGGAGATCATACTACGCACCTCTTCCATAAAACTATGTAATTCATTTTCCCGCTTTCTCTTCATGCGACCAATGCTCACATTGATGTTGCTTTCTGCTTTCTGTAGGTCAGATACACTTCCACCTACGCTCTCTGAATCAGTCTCCGATGCATGTACGTTTTGTGGTGGGGTGCGTTTCAAAGGCATTTTATTAAAATATTATTAAATAACAATAGGTCAATATAAATGTGCGTATAGCAAGGTACCAGGAGAACACGAACCAGCACTTTAAGTGAGTACGTAGCTGTGAAGTTACACCGATTGCTTGTTAAGGTAATGTACTAGGAGCACAGCTACGTACCTCCCACGAAGACGTAGCGTAGGGTGACCAATACATGCACAGCTGATTCACCGTACGTCGCACCGCCCCCGTAGTCAATGCATAGGCGGCGATGGGCGGTGATTCGCGGCGACGAGTAGCTGTCAGGGCTGCGAGAGTGTGTCACTGCAGCGGAGGACTAGGAGCGGCCGGTCACTGATAGCTCTTGAATTTCCTGTACTCCTATTTTTATGTCGCGAATTTTGGCAGATAACTTTAATTAATCCTTATTTAAAATAATAGTAAGTAATACGGTAGTGGTTTTTGTACACGTCTGAACACCTCAGAGGTCCGGGGGGAAGAGACATATACACATACACATATTGTGTACTAGAGACCCGCCCCAGCTTTGCATGTATGGGATCCATCCATAATTAATCCATTAGTATTAAGACATAAAGCCTTAAAGGGCATATAAATAATCCCCTCAAACTCAATAACAGGCAGTTACTGCGATATTAAAGACAGACATATCAATATGATAATTTAAATTTATATATAAAGATTGTACTATGTGATCTTTATAAATTGTTTGAAATTGTAATGTATGTGATTATAAAATGCTAATAAGTATGTAATAAAATAAGGTTCATAGATCGGAATGAAGGTAGTATCATAAATATTGCCTGTTAAGACACAAGTATAAATGTCCACTGTTTCGAGCGCACCGCGTCAGTATCACGAGAGCTGCGGGCGAGAGTGGATGTGCACTGAAACGTGAGTTTACGTGTGCGTGTGTGAACCAGTGAATTTTTTTATTTAAAAAGATTTTGATGGAAAAATAGTAGACGTAACTAATCTTTCCTCTTGATTCAAACAAAAGTAAGCAAAATTTTAGTGGAATTTTGCATGTAGGTGTGGTATTTTATCGCCTTTAATAAAATAATTATTTACCGCTTTCATAGCGTATATAAGTCTGACAGAAAATCGTGGACACTTCACGGCTTCTGTAAATTGAATAGTAGGTAACTAGTAATACTGTAAATACGCATTTTAGCTACTAAATTTACCCAAAGCCTAAATGGCACAGCTATGGAAGTAGTCAGCATAACAAATAAATCAAAATAGAAGGGCGAGAGTTATGGTACATATTTCTATCATCACATTGAAGTTTGGTATCAAATACCTTCATTAAATTGAGCACCTGGTATAATATACCGTCATTAAATTGAGCATCGGGTATAAAATACCGTCATTAAATTGAGTATCGGGTATCAAATACCTTCATTAAATTGAGCATCGGGTATCAAATACCTTCATTAAATTGAGCATCGGGTATCAAATACCGTCATTAAATTGAGCATCGGGTATAATATACCACCATTAAATTGGTGCCAGGGCATCATATGCCACCATTAAATTGGTCTCGGAAAAAAGTAACCATTTAATTGGTTACATGATTATTTATATTTATTTTCAGGTAACCCTCTAAACTAGCCATTAAAAGTCATGGCACATTCGTTACCAGCATTGGATGTTTTAAGTTTGGAGGGCGATAACCCTTCAATCGGTGTGAGATGGGAAAATTGGAAAAGTAAAACAAATTGTTGCAGATGCGGTAATAGTTCGCATACGTCAAGTGATATAAATTGTCCCGCCAGAGGAAAAGTGTTTTTCTTGCGGTAAAATTGGGCATTTTCGTTTGCATTGCAGAACAAAAAAAATGGAAGGTGACATTATAGAAGAAGTGAAGGCACCTTCTAAGTGGGTTTCACCGATTGTACCAATTTTAAAAGGGAATGGGGAATTGCGCTTGTGTGTGGACATGAGACGTGCTAATTTCGCCATTGTCAGGGAAAATCACCCCTTACCCTCTATGAATAATTTACTGACTAAAATGAGAAAAGCTAAATACTTTAGTAAATTAGATATAAAAAACGCCTTTCATCAAGTTGAAATACATCCGAAATTTCGATACATTACAACTTTTATAACTGTGAAAGGATTATTTCATTATAAAAGATTATTATTTGGCATCTCTTGCGCACCCGAACTATTTCAGAAAATTCTTGAAAAAATGCTAATAAGTTGTGAAGGAGTTGTTAATTTTATCGACGATATTTTGTTATTTGGTAGTTACGAGGAAGAGCACGACTCAAGACTATTGAAGTTACTAGAGGTACTAAAGAGAAATAACGTACTTCTTAATGTAGGGAAATGCATATATAAAGCAAACCAAGTAACGTTTTGGGACATTAACTTTCTCCTACAGGTGTGAAACCTTTAGAAAAATATGTCAAAGGCATTATGAGCTTTAGAGTACCAAATACCATTGATGAGCTCCAATGTATTTTAGGTCTGACAAACTTTGTAAATAAATGGATTCCAAATTTGGCTACATTGACGGATAATTTAAAAGAGCTGTTAAGAAAAAATGGGGAAAATGCTTGCATAGCAATACTTTGATTTAAGGAACAGGACAATGCTTTTACACAGTTAAAGCAAGCTTTAACGAAAATACAATCCCTGGGGTATTACGACGTCCACGATAAAACACACGTGATAGCAGACGCCAGTCCAGTCGAACTTGGAGCTGTGCTCATACAGAGTGATCATACAAAACCTCGAATAATTGCTTACGGAAAGCTTAATTCTTCTATTCGATACTAGATGGCGCTGCTTCGAGAGTTCTAGAAAGATCTTGACACTCCTATTTCTGATACTTGATACCAGATGGTGCTAGTGCCATCGACTGTGGCGCGCAACAATATATTGAGAGTACGAGTCATTTTTATCCATAATTATAGAATTTGTTATTATTTTGACTACAGCGTCATTTGTCAGATCCTAATATCCGTCCTATCCTATGATGTCATCTCAGCAAATCTCTATCTATGTCTAAATCTAATCTATGAATCAGGTTGCTTTCTTTATGGAGTTTTGGTGGAAGCTTGACCGTCGACTGATCCTGTTTTATCATTTAAATAATGGTTTGAAGTGGATTTTGATACGTAAATTTTATGCAATTTCGTGTATTAAATGTCTGCGCATGTGAACTATGAGATTAAACTACGAAACAAGTGCTTCGATGTAATCCTCTTGATCGCTTAAGCGCTTTACGAACTTGAGTGACTGTCGTCATCGACTGTACACTGGGTTGATTTGTCGTGTAAGTTTCTCAAAAACTTTGTAATGTGATGCATCAGCATATTGTGCTGACAAAATGAAGACATGGCTTAAAGAACAAGCATCCAAGCCAAAATAAATAAATAAAAAGGAATGACAGTTTGACATATTCTTTGTCTTTGACACACCTTGTAAGGATTCGTAAAATTGTGTTTTAATTGATTTCTTGAGATAATTTTGTGATATAAAGTGAATATTGGACTTTAAAGCAAATTTTTTAGTGTAATAACGTACTATTTTTGTGGTACAGGGAAACATTCTAATAAAACAAGGTAAAAAGCGTTTCATCTACTTGTCAATATCTAATCCTACCATATTTAAGAGCACGAAATCTTCGATCAAACTTACTGTTTACTGTTCAGTGTTAACAAAATACACATGACTTTTTGTTGTGGTTGCATTACAAATGATTTTTATTTTTATTGATATGTAAATAATATAAGTTGTGTTGAGAAAAGGAGAAAAGAGCGTCCTTTATTTGTGCCGTTGTTTCTAATGAAAACAATAACTACAATAACTAATTTGTACCTTTATCTCAGATTTGTTTTCTCTCTACCTTTGTGTGACTCATACTTTCACTCGAAATTGGGAACTAATAGGCATAACAAGGTACAGTTACAAGCTTACAATAAACTATAAATCATAATAGTAATTGATTCTTATCACTTAATATTAGACTTCCAAGGAATTGTATATTATTCGGCGTGTGGCCGAATACCTAATATTCTGCAGACTTGCTAGCCAAATAGCCGAATATTAGGCAGAAGTATTTGGCCGGGAAGGAATAATGTTTATTCAGTGTCTTTTCTCTAAAGCTGGGATTGTCTTCGAGAAGAATAGGAGTAAACTACTGCCTAATAAAAAAGTCATTCTGCACCATAATCTTCCACTTTCAAATTATTAATTATGATATTTCAATTTCAACATTTATTGGATGGTTCTTTTTGTTAATTTTTATAAAACTGAGGTTGATTATGTATCTATGATTACTTAAATGATTACTAGAAAAAATTAACATTATAAAATAAATCATTATTTTCATTTAACTAATTATCCGACTACAATTCAACATCTTAAATGTTTGGAATTTGACTGAATAGTAGCTGAATATTTGTTGCATGTCTATTTAATATATTGTTCTACAAAAGAAATATTAAGAGAAATGAAATACAATTGAATAAAATTGTTAAACAGATTTTATCACATTTAACTTATTTTTAATTCCTGAAATTTAAAGTGCTTTACAGTACCCATGGTCACGGAAAGACTGAGATGTTTGAGAATGACAATTGTGTAACAGTGAAATTCATATCTAACCAAATATCTAATTGTAGACTGTAATTACTTGATAAGTAATAGTCCTTTTACTACAGCAGGTAGATAGCACCTATTTTTTAGATGTTGACTGCAGTTACCTACAGGCTGTTGTGCAAGTTTATTTCTTTTTTTATGGAATAAGTGTGAGAACTTAACATAAAATGTAACATTTATCATTCATAATGTGTGTTCCAATTCCATTGCAGTTGTAAAGAACCAGAGACCTTTCACACTGGTGGAAGGCATTCTATTTTATTCTACCAATGTAATAAAGCATCTGCATTATTTAATCAATGATAGATGTAACTGCTTATCGACATCCACTTAACATGACTGACTGTGTAACATTTGTCAACATTATTTTTACAACAAAAACTTATTCATATATGCTATATATCTATTGAATAAAACTACTTTTATGGATTTTATCTCATCTAATTCTACTTATTTTTAAGTCCCGACCTTTTGGGTACCATTGTCAAAGGGGGACTGAGGTTATTCATATCTCGATGTCAAAGTTAACCTATAGTGCCTTCAGTATTTTATTTATTAATTTTGGTCCAACCTATGCAGAATGAACTTACTGTGTCTTGAAGTCTTGCAGTGGTATGTTTGGGTTTAGTTTTAACTTCATTAATTACAGAATCCAAAACAGATGGCAGTACCCAGCCTACTTTTATACTGAAATTAGGGTGTTTCATAATTTCAATATCCTTTTAAAACATCTTTGGTGGGAATCAGTGTTCTTTCGTGAGGATTTGTGGTCTATTAAATCTGATGTAATGGCCCCGCCATCTGGGATATGATCACAAACTGCAGACTTTCCAGAGCATTGGTGTTTCAAGCCTATATATATATATATATATATATATATATATATATATATATATATATATATATACTTTTTGTATATGTATTATGTATATAAAATTTAACTTTTTACCCATAATTTATTGTTGACAGGTTTTTATTTAAAAAAAGTTAATGCCCTTCAGCCTAATTCTTTTTAATTTTTTAAAAGAAATAGGCTGAAGGGCAATAACTTTCATTAAAAAATGTCCTGCGGCTGGGCACAGGCCTCCACTAATGTCTGAGAGGGTTTTAGGGCAAGGAAGTGTCCGCCGCCCTGCGCCAATGTGTGTTGGCGAACTTCACATGTCTTTGAAAAAATTGTTTATTTCGCAGATATGCAGGTTTCCTCACAATGTTTTGCTTCACCGCCGAGCATGTTGTTAATCAGCACTTAAAATTGCAATTAACAATTTCATTGGTGCTGGCTGTGATCTTTTTTTTTTGTAGAAGAGTGGGCAAATGAGCATGCGGCTCACCTGATGTTAAGTGACTACCGCCGCCCATGATCAACCGCAACACCAGGGGAATTGCAGGTGCGTTGCCGGCCCTTTAGAAAGGAGTAAGCTCTTTTCTTGAAGGTCCCCAGGTCGTATTGGTCCAGAAAAATCGCCGGTGGTAAGCTATTCCACAGAGAGGTTGTATGCGGAAGAAAACTCCTTTTGAAACGTACAGTGGTGGACCGCCAGGCATCCAGATGGTGTGGATGGTATCGGGACGTTTGCCGCGTAGTGCGTTCACGAAATTTGGCGGCTGGGATTAATCCGAACAATTCCTCAGAGCACTCTCCATGGTATATGTGATAGAAAATGTAAAGAGATGCAACATCTCTTCGCATTGCCAGTGAATCGAGCCGATTGGAAAGCACTCGGTCGTCGACGATTCGAGCCGCTCTGCGCTGGATGCGGTCAAGTGGAAAGAGCTGGTACTGGGGAGCCCCAGCCCAGAGATGGGAACAGTATTCTATGTGCGGCAGAACCTGCGCCTTGTAAAGTTGCAGGCGGTGTGCCGGCATGAAATACTGTCCTGCTCTGCTGAGCACGCAAAGCTTTTTAGAGGCCAATTTGGCCTCTTCCAAGTGACCACGAAACTGCACGTCACTCGATATGTCGACGCCGAGGATTCCGATACTGGCTGAGGCAACAAGGGGAGTGCCTTGAAACTGAGGAGATACGACAAAGGGTTGATTTTTAGCGGTGAACGCGCAAACTTGTGTCTTCTGGGGGTTAAACTGGACTAGATTTAATCGCCCCCAATCAGAGACTCTCTTCAGCAAAGACTCTAATTTAGACACAAGTTTGTCCCGGCACTCGGAGAAGTTTTTCCGAGAAATATTGGCTCGGCCTGTGTAAAGAGCATCACCAGTGCTGTCATCTGCATAGCAATGAATATTACGGGTTTGCAACATATCATTGATATTCAGAAGAGCAGCGTTGGCGATAGCACGCAGCCTTGTGGAACACCAGCATTAATAGGCTTGCAATCGGAGCTTGCACCGTCTACAACGACCTTGATGCTCCGATCTGCAAGAAAGCTGGTGATCCAATCGCACAATTACTCGGGAAGCCCATAGTAAGGGAGTTTCGAAAGAAGCGCTTTGTGCCAAACCCGATCGAAGGCCTTTGCAATGTCCAAACTAACGGCCAATGCCTCCCCCTTGGACTCTACTGCCTCCGCCCATCTGTGAATTAGGTAGACCAGAAGATCACCAGCTGACCGACCACGGGAAAACCGTATTGGCGGTCACTAATCAGCTGGTGATCCTCAAGGTACCTCATGACCTGGCAGCTGGCAGAGATCGAACCCGGGTTGCGCGTGTACTGTGAAATTTACAGTGAGCACTAACTGTCTGAGGTCTCATTTCATTTAAAAAAATGTGCACCAAGATTTATTACAAAAGTATGTATTGTAATGAATTGTAATAAATACTATGATACCAAATGTCATAATGTAATATGATATTCATTGGTACGCAATTATTGCATTCATATGTTTCCTTTTAATTTAAACCCATGTCTTCTGACTAAGTAGCCAGAGAGATCAATACTTAAGCTGTATAATCAGTTAACGGCACTGATGTAACTAGATCTTGCTTGAGATTAACTAATTAATCTGCACTATAACTGATTTACACACTAACATATAACATAGCAGATGTACTAAATATATATTATATATTTAGCACATATACATTTAGTATTTAAGCTTTTAAAGTTGATTTTGAAACAAAATGAGTTTGAATTGTAAACTACATCCCTTCATTATTATGAAAATCTGCAAATAATTTAATTATAAACTGATCACCAGGCCTAAGTATTTTGAAATTGTATAAAAGGAATATACAATGCCTGCATCATTGGTATAGCAGTGACTACGTGTGAATGTAATGTGAAACACAGTTTCAATCCTGGGTTGGGCCAAAATCAGTTATTAGACTTACTACGATTGTCAAGAATTTTTCAAAAACTTTCCTAAGTCAAAAGTAATAGCACTGTTTCACCCTCTATACCTATTACCCTTCTTGCGTTTATGCGAAGTCTCCGCAAGCAATATATATTGTATAATATTGGAAGTATAATATTTGAATTGTTTTTGTTTTCTATAATGTGGTTAATGTAATTTAATATGATAATGAAGTTATCTATAATATTGTTAAATAATTCTATTTCTTTTTAATAACTTATTTATTCAATGATGTAGTCCAAGTTTTTTTTTAATCCTATCATTCACTAAATAATCAATGCATGTTGTGATTACCTATAAAAAGAAATACAGTTATAATGTGCTTAATATGTTATGAAAATGATCTTTGTATTACTATTGTAATTTCTGTTGGTAATCCTAATAAATAAATAAATAAATAAATAAATAAATAAATAAATAAATAAATAAATATCAATGGAGACTTGCCAACAAGACTCATTTTCGGTCTAGAGTTGACATGTGGCAATTGTGAATAATTTGACCCGGGTTATGTTAAAGTATTCATGATTGTTATTACTTTTATTTAAGTCTCTGATCAAACGATTCACAGAATGTATGACCAAAGATTAGAGCTATGTCCGACGACCGATATTATCGAGCAGGTCTCACAGATCAAAGAGTACTGAAACTTGAAATGATGCATTTGAATGATTGACTCAGATGACACTGTTTGTAAGATTAATCAAGGTTTGAATGATGGGGTCCCTATAAATGAAGGAATGACGTATCTAGTCTGGAGAACTTTTTTAATTTTATACATAAAGTAATTTCTTACTTGTGCATTTGCAGATATGGCTACTATGACGGACACATATGGCACGACGGGCCAGCTCACCTTGAAATGGGACCCTAAGAATCTGGAGATACGCACCACTTCCGTGGAGCGTACCCTTGAGCCCTTAGTGCTGCAGGTGACTACACTCGTGAACAGCAAAGACAAGACTGCCAAGAAGAAGAGACGTGAGTATTAATCAACATATTGAAAACATCATCAGGAAAAGGGTGTGAAATATTTGATGTTTCTGTGTCATCAGATGTTCTTGAAATTTAAAAGATTATATTTAGAAATGCAAAAACGGGGCCTTCTGGTACAAGTATATACATTAATAATAATAATGTCCTCCAGACCGAATTTCGGCTACGGCGGCCTGCCTCAACGGAGGCTAGCCATCGGCGCAGGACAGTATTATAGTGCCCTAGTGTATGCGCAAGCACAGGTGCACTCTCTATTCCATCACTCTCATAATCCGATGGGACGGTAAACCGACACAACCGGAGAGAGATCAGGCGCAGGACCAACGGCTTTACTTACTTTCCGAGGCACGGGGGTGAGACACTGCCAACTTCCTGACTCCGGGCAACTACTGAGAATTTCTTGACGGTAAAACTGAATAATTAATTTTTGGCCCGACACGGGATTCGAACCCAGAATCTCATGATCAGCGGTCGCACTAATAAAACCACTAGATCAACGAGGCAATACATTACATCATACTTAAAAGGTTTGGCCTCTACCTTTGATTGTAATGAAACAACTGTAACTGTTATAGAAATAAAAAAAAGTTCTATCATCATTATCATCATAATCATTACAGCCCTTTATAAGTTGTCGTGAAGCGACAATTAAAAACTAAATAACCTAACCTAACTACAACAAAACAACCAAAAATAAAATAAATTATTTAAAAATTTGAAAAGATTTACAGTTTCTTTTATAAAAAAAAGGTATGAAGGTGATGATGGGCTGTAATGATGATAGTGATTTACAATATTATTAAAAAAAATAACAAAAATAAAGATACTGCAACGAAGTATGCACAGGCTATGCCTATGATAGGTGCACAGCGCCTGCTCTAGGTACACGCAGAATCTGGAGAAAGCACATGCAGCGTCTGGAGAAGGTACACGCAGCGCTTGGAGTAGGCCCACGCAACGCCCGGAGCAGATACACGCAGCACCCGGAGTAGACACGCAGCGTCTGGAGTAGGTACACGTGGCGCTTGAAGTAGGCAAACACAACGTCCGGAGTAGACACACACAGCGTCCGGAGTAGACACGCAGCGTCTGGAGAAGGAACACGCAGCGCTTGAGACAAACACGCTCAGCGGCCGAAGATAGCGCGGGCACTAATAGGTGGAGGCGTAGGCGTGGCTAGGCGACGACTTCAGGAGAAGGCTTGCAAGATCCCGAGGCAGTGCGGATAAAGCCTTTAAGAGGTGCTTCTCGTATCAAAGCTGAAGTGAGGACCTCTATCGGCCGATTCTTCGGCTTTTATACTTTTTGACGGATCTGGGATAAGAACGAGAAATTATTTGAAATTATTTAAATTAAAAGCAAATTTTTGTAAATGGCCAAGAAGAAAAGAGTATTTTTGAAGTAAAAACATCAGGCCGGTAACAATATTTGAATAAAAATTGCCACGACAACCAGATAAACAACGATGTCAAAACATGTCAAATTTTGGTTTTAAGCTCGTAATACAGAAACGGCAAGATTTAAGTGAAAAATGAGATATTATTTATATAGGAAAAAAGGTAGCGCAAGAGCGCGCACGAAACCCGAAATTGTAGAGTTACGGAGAACTAAATAAAAGATCGAAAAAGGTAGACTCCATTGACACCGATTTAAAAAGTGCTGATAACGTGAAAATACGAAGTGAAAATGATTTGTTATTGTGTTCTTATGAATTAAAAATATTACAGGATCCTATGGAAATAAAGGTGATGCAAAATATCCAGTTTTGAGGTGAATGTAGAAAATCAAAAACAGAATGGAAAAATAAAAATAAAATAGTGTAAAATGATATGTAAGTATGTATGTAAGCATAACACTACATTTTCCCCCCGACCCTGGAAAATTTTTGACTCAGCAAAAATTTTGAGATGTACATTCCAAAATAAACCATAAAAACACAGCTTTGCAGTAACAGACATCACCAGGCAATATCAGATATACTATCTCTTACATTCATCATCTGCATTCAGGTAAGGGTGGAGTTCACATTCAATGACTACCACTCTAAAAGTGTGTTTTCGAAAGGACATTCAGGCTTATTTAAGGAGTTGTCATCCGCTCCTGCGTGGAAAAAAAAACATTTTGAAAGGACATCCAGGCTTATTTAAGGAGTTGTCATCCGCTCCTGAGTGAAGATAAAGTTAAAGAAATTAATCTTAAGCAAGCTTTAGTCGCTATGACTTAAGTAAAGATTAAGAACGGCCAGAGCGGTAGGGCTCAAAGCCAGAGATCAGCAACATCACTAACGAGATGTGTCTGAAATAGATATTTATACATATATACAAACTTATATACAAATATACAAACATATATACAAATGTAGTGTCATGCAAAACAGTATTAGCTGGTTCCTTACATCTAATCTTCACTTCGTATTCGAGTTCGGCCTTGTTAAGGAATTCGTACTTAATAACCCTTTTCATTGTTATAATTAAGTGCAAAGTTAAGTTTAAGAAATAAAATTTTAATTAAAAAATTGTACCTCTTTAAGTTATCTAGAATAAAAATATTAAAGTGATGAATGTAAGTGAAGTGTTATATGTAGGTCTAAATATAATCCAGATAAGTTGAAAAACTAGATGAAGTTTTGTTTTAGAATTTGGAAGATAGTACCTCTTTAAGTTATCTAGAATAAAGATATTAAGGTGATGAATGTAAGTGAAGTGTTATATGTAGGTCTAAATATAAGCCAGATAAGTTGAAAAACTAGATGAAGTTTTGTTTTAGAATTTGGAAGATAGTACCTCTTTTAGTTCTCTAGAATAAAAATATTAAGGTGATGAATGTAAGTGTTATATGTAGGTCTAAATATAATCCAGATAAGTTGAAAAACTAGATGAAGTTTTGTTTTGGAATTTGGAAGATAGTACCTCTTTTAGTTCTCTAGAATAAAAATATTAAGGTGATGAATGTAAGTGTTATATGTAGGTCTAAATATAATCCAGATAAGTTGAAAAACTAGATGAAGTTTTGTTTTAGAATTTGGAAGATATGATAAGGATGAGTAAATAAAGAGTTAAGAATGAAAGAGAAAGCAATTCAATCAAAAGGAAATGGATAAGGCGTAGCTAAGGTGAAGAAAAGAAGAACTTTTACGTTGGGCGCCAAATTGTCGTGAAGCGACAATTAAAAACTAAATAACCTAACCTAACTACAACAAAACAACCAAAAATAAAATAAATTATTTAAAAATTTGAAAAGATTTACAGTTTCTTTTATAAAAAAAAGGTATGAAGGTGATGATGGGCTGTAATGATGATAGTGATTTACAATATTATTAAAAAAAATAACAAAAATAAAGATACTGCAACGAAGTATGCACAGGCTATGCCTATGATAGGTGCACAGCGCCTGCTCTAGGTACACGCAGAATCTGGAGAAAGCACATGCAGCGTCTGGAGAAGGTACACGCAGCGCTTGGAGTAGGCCCACGCAACGCCCGGAGCAGATACACGCAGCACCCGGAGTAGACACGCAGCGTCTGGAGTAGGTACACGTGGCGCTTGAAGTAGGCAAACACAACGTCCGGAGTAGACACACACAGCGTCCGGAGTAGACACGCAGCGTCTGGAGAAGGAACACGCAGCGCTTGAGACAAACACGCTCAGCGGCCGAAGATAGCGCGGGCACTAATAGGTGGAGGCGTAGGCGTGGCTAGGCGACGACTTCAGGAGAAGGCTTGCAAGATCCCGAGGCAGTGCGGATAAAGCCTTTAAGAGGTGCTTCTCGTATCAAAGCTGAAGTGAGGACCTCTATCGGCCGATTCTTCGGCTTTTATACTTTTTGACGGATCTGGGATAAGAACGAGAAATTATTTGAAATTATTTAAATTAAAAGCAAATTTTTGTAAATGGCCAAGAAGAAAAGAGTATTTTTGAAGTAAAAACATCAGGCCGGTAACAATATTTGAATAAAAATTGCCACGACAACCAGATAAACAACGATGTCAAAACATGTCAAATTTTGGTTTTAAGCTCGTAATACAGAAACGGCAAGATTTAAGTGAAAAATGAGATATTATTTATATAGGAAAAAAGGTAGCGCAAGAGCGCGCACGAAACCCGAAATTGTAGAGTTACGGAGAACTAAATAAAAGATCGAAAAAGGTAGACTCCATTGACACCGATTTAAAAAGTGCTGATAACGTGAAAATACGAAGTGAAAATGATTTGTTATTGTGTTCTTATGAATTAAAAATATTACAGGATCCTATGGAAATAAAGGTGATGCAAAATATCCAGTTTTGAGGTGAATGTAGAAAATCAAAAACAGAATGGAAAAATAAAAATAAAATAGTGTAAAATGATATGTAAGTATGTATGTAAGCATAACACTACAAAGTCCACTGCTGAACTAGATCTCCCCATATTTTTGTGTTCATTGACTAAATATAGATACCGTTGCGCGCCTAAGTTGATGTCCGGTACCTGGCACTAGCGCCATCTTGTGTCGGGTAACAGCGAGGAGAGCTTTCTAGAAAATGCCATGCTGGAACTTTCCACCTCCAGCGCCATCTAGTATCGAATAGAAGAACTTAAGCTTTCTGGAAAACTCCACACACGAACTTTCTCCACCTGGTCGGTCGGGACTGGTATTTGCTGGAATATTCTAGATGTTTCGGTGGAAAAGACCTATTTAAAGCCGTTGAAAGCCGCAGTCGGGGCAGTATTGAATTGGCGATACGAGCGAAGCTTCGGAGCGAAATAAAGTGATCAGTGTGATTAATTATTTGTGTGTTTTAAGTTTTAATTGGTGTTCGGCAATTAAAGTCTCAATTTCGGTAATTCAATCGTCAGTTTTTACTGTCATGAACCCTAATGATTTCTTAAATTTACGCGAACACTACACAATGAATAAAACTATTATTTACGGATTTTATCGCGTTTAATTACTTTAATTTATTTTTATTATTATCCCGACGTTTCGGGTGCTTTACAGCGCCCATG